GTATGCTAATGTGTTGTCCCTCCTGCCCCCTGATGTTATGTTTCCCACCAAATTTGTGTCCTCACGCAGGGAGGGACTGTGCTGAGAAGCTAGATTTTTGATTGTCCCCCTGGGTTCGAGGCACCTTGCTGTTGGTTTTGGTTTCTGAAACGTAAGAAGTCCTCTTTGAGGGGGCAATGGGATGCCCAGTGTCCTTTCTTATTGCAGAGGTTGCAGGGTTTTCCCGGGCTGTAACCTTTGGGGGGGTGGCCCTGAGAAGCTGCGCGCAGGAGCTGGGGCTACGGATGGCGTGTGGGCTTCGGCAAAGGAGACCCTCCTTGATGGCGTTTGGGGCGTCCCCTGCAGATCCTTTGATGGCAAGGTGACCTTTCGAGTGCACACGTCCAGCATGTCTTGGAGTGTTGGCTCTGGGTCGAGGGGAAGGCTCAGGATTGTCTGTCAGCAGGCTTCATTGGCGTTCTGCAGGGCGATTTGCTTCACCATGCCTTGCCTCAATCCCTCCTCTGGAACCTGTGCTTTAGCTGCCCTGCACAACCTGTCTATAAAACTAATGAAAGATTCCTGTGTCTCCTGCTTAAGAGAGAAACAGTTGACAACAGGACCACTGGGTCTTAACTTAAAGAATGCTTTTTGTGCTGTCTTGGCACTTGCTGACAGTGCCCCCCTTGGTATCTTTTCGGCCTGCGTTGTTGCCACGTCCCAATCCCCCATCCCGCACAGATGATCAGTGGACAACACGCCCCCATCGATGTCGAAGGAGGTCTCGCCATTGGCCCAAAGGTAGGGTAATACATCTCATACTTCCCGCCTCCATGCGGATTCCCATACCAAAAACTCGGCTTGAGTAATCAAGCACGAAAAGAGAGTGCGCATGTCAGCAGGGACGTACTCGTTGGAGGAAAGTGTGGCTTTTAACAGCCCCCTAAAGTATTCACTTTCCCAGCCAAACTCCTTTTGGGCTTTGCAGACATCCGTGAGTACTGACTGTGGTATTGGAGTCCACTGTGCGAGGGGTCTGCCCCTCTGCCGCGGTGTATAGGTGACCGGCGCAGCAGAAAAGGCAAGCGGGGTTTGCAGGTCGCGGCTTCCCCCCTCCCCCTCCCCCCTCGGAAACCGAGGTGTGGGAACCAGAGGGCGGGTCATGGGAACCGAGGGAGGAGGCAGGACCAGGGCTGGTGTTGCATCACCCCTAGGGGTGGGGTTGGAGGGAGGACTGCTGAATGATTCATTAGGGGAGGTGCCTGAAGGGGGTGGAGAGGAAGAGTGGGTGGAGAAGTCTCGGGGGTGGAATGGGTTGGCCGTAGGGCGAAAGGGGTTGTTGGGAGACAAAGCACGGGGGGAGGGGGATGCCATGTGGTTCCCTCCATCTTGTGCCCTGGGGTAGGAAAGGGAATCATTTTGGGAAAGGTCTGGGGAAGGTTGTGGAGAGGGATCTGGGGTCTTAAAACTTACAACTTTACTACTATGGGGCAGGGCTGTACAAAGAGAGGGGCTTTGGGGATGGGAAGAGTGCAGGGCGATGCCAGCACTGCCCTGCGAGGGAACCCGGGGGTTAACAAAGGGGCCAGAGTCTTCCTGCGGCGGCTGCCGGGATGCCTGTCTGAGAATCCCTGGGCTAGGGATAGAAGGAGAGGAGAGGAGGCATGGGGGGCTGTATTCACCTTTCCATGGCTCTGGCTTCCCTTCGCTGTTATTTTTGACAATATTTCTAATTTGGATTGCCAGATGGATGAAAATTGAGAGGGAAGGGTCCTCTTTTTGGACGATTTCCCTTCCAACTCGGTCCCAAAATTGAGTTTGGTATAAATTTGCCTGCAATATATCCTGTAAAGACTGCAGAAGCCACCGGGCGAAGCGCTTAAAGTCAGATTTTTAAAATCTTTTTTCTCCCCCAACTAGAATTCCTATAATTTGAACATAAATTCTCTGCTGTGACACTGACAGTTTAGCACCCATCCTGTCGATTTTAAAGCGTGTCGTGAACTTCACAACTGGTAAAATAACAACAGAAAATAGAAGACCCCTTTATGGACGCCGGGTAACCTGTCCTTACACGCTCCCTGCCGCGGGAGAACAAAATGTGGGATCTTATCACCCCCTTGTGGGAGAAAGAGAAACCCACCCCAAAAGGAGCAAGGTGTGCCCGGCCCTGGGGGACCCCTGTAACTTACCACAGGTCCAGCGAAGTCCGAAGGGGAAATGAAAAGTCCAGCTGCGAAGTTTTCACCGTGAGTGGACCGAACTCCGGCGGTGCAAACCGAAGCTGCTGGTCCGGTCCTCCCGGAAGCCCTGGCTCGCTAAAATGGAGCCGCGGCTTGCTGAAGGTGTTGTAACGTCCACGAGGTTAAGTCCACCAGTCTCTCGGGACTTGGCGGTCCTCCGTCCATGTGCTTGAAGCTCTCAAGCCGCACGTTTGGGCGCCACAACTGCGGTATGCTCTCTTTCCCCCCCCTTATCCCAGCTAGCTCCAGGAGGAAAGGGGAGCGCGAGCAGATCTTCCCCCCTCCCGCTGAGCCCTCGCGGGCTTCGGGCGGGGCTGCGTGGGTCTGAGAGCAAGCGGCGAGTCCCACGGCGAATAAAAGGAAAGAGTCTTTTCTCCGGGGGGCAGAATTCCGTTTTATTGCAACCAAACGAGGAGAGCAATAACCGAAGGGGCCGCGGCTTGCTGCGCCGGTGTTTGTCTGTGCCGCGACGGCGAGCGGGGTGGAGCGGCGGGCGCCGGAGCCGGCCAAGAGAAGCGGCGGCTGCTCGGGCAGGGCGGCGGCAACGCGAGGGTGCCTGCCAGGAGAAAAGCCGCGGGCGTGCCGCGCCTGCGGATTAAGTACAGGACAGGGGAAAACTGGGGCAGCCAATGGGGTAATGCCACGGGGGGTCTGAGGGCAGTGGGGTGCAGGGGTACATCCAATGGGGGGCGGACAGGTGGAGGGTCCCAGGTCGTCTGCCTATCCCTCGGCATCCCGGGTAGAAGATTCTAGGTGGGGGGAAGGGGCACCGAGTGACAGACAGGCATCTGGGGGTAAACACGGTGACTTTGCAATTTCTCGGGGACAACAAACTGCGGGGAGAGATGGGAAGACCCGGGGGGGCCGTTACAGAGCCCGGGGGGTACAAGGAACGAACTTATACATAATACAAATGTGGTAAAACATATAATAACACAACTCCACATGGGGGCATTGCCACCCAAGAGACCTTTAAGCTTCTCCATATTACAGCCACAAAACACCACCGAATGCTGAACTTGCAACGCTTTCGCGATGTCTGACGGATGGCGCCTAGGGAATACCACAGGAATTCCTTTAACCCAACCGAGTGTAGCTTTCTCTGCGTCTTATCGGCAGGTACCAGACTAAATTAAAAGCACCTTACCTCTCTCCAGGGGACGTTGTGAGCGGTGGAGCGTCGCGGCACCGATGGGCTCCCCGAAAATCCCTCGGTGCCGGCTGGAGCATGATCAGGTCGCGGGATCCCCAGCAGCGCCCGCAGGGTCCCATATGGTTTCACCAAAATGTTAGTGTTCAGGAACACACGTAATCACGGGATATGATTATATGCAGGTGCTTTTATTGAAGAGCTCTGGGAATCAGAGGTACAGACCCAAATCTGACTCCGACATGGCTTTTGAGCTGAACGTATTTTATATTCTATCATTATATAACTTACATATTAATTATTGAACTTATATTGTTCTATTGTATACATTGACATGAGTTTCTCTTGATCTTTCTTAGGTCCCTGACCACAGTTTCTCATTATTATTCTTATGATTAAACAATAATATTTAATTACTAAACAATCATCACATCTAACAAGTATATCATTTATCATGTATAGGTGCAGTTCTAGCAAGTACAAGTTCTCCATGTGCTTAGGGTGTTTATTTTTCCAGGGCCTACTAAGCTTATTTTTCCTTTTAACCCTTAATCCCCATGATTTTAAAACCCTTTTACTATCAAGGTTGGCTAGCCTCTGATTGGTAATTTTGTAGTAATATTTTTAATTGTTTTTTCCAAATTGATTCCCACAAAAGTATCTCCGTAGGTGATAAGAGGAGGGACATAACATGCCGGAGATCATAGGGGACAAGCACATGAGTTGAGAATCTTACGTGTATGAGATTTCTGAAATCTGGGGAATATCGGCCAAAATCTTTCGAAATTCGGCAGATTTCTCTGAGTTCAGTATAAGGAATAGTTTTCCATTTTGGGGGGCACCCCCTTCTGTATCTAACTGAAGCGGCAAGGATTTTTAATTTTTTAGCAAACTCCCAGTTCTTGTCCACAGCTATTTCTCTTTTGATTTGAACCCAAGGATCCTGAAATTCACCATCTGAATCTGAGGAATCAGTATTATCTGAGGTAGAAGCAAATATTTTAGAATCAGCACCAGAGCTCCAGCCGGGGTACACTTCGTGTTTGGAGTGTGTAAAACAGAAGGTGTTTTTCTGATTAGCTTCCCTCCCATAGGGTGGGGTGGGGGGGGTATCGGGGGGGGGACCCGGGGGAGAAACCGCGGGACCGTGCGGGGGGGGGGGGGGGGGAGGGGGGGCGGAAAGCCGGAGGAGATGGTTCCGCAGGGGACGGAGGAAAAGGAATCCCCGCTGCCGGGACAGCTGGTGCGAACGGGTAGACAGAGGCGGAGGCAGCTACTGCCGGGGGGGACACACGGAGCCGGGGTAGGGGGAACACCAGGGGCCGCAGGGGGAAAGGGAATCCCCACTGCCGAAACAACAGGGGAGGCGGGAACGGCGGCTGGGAGGAGCCCGGGGCCGCGGGGAGGGTGGGTGCCGGCGGACCCACCGCCTCAGGCGCGGGGGGAAGCGGGGGAAGCGCCGCGGCTGGCAAGGGTGGGAGGGTTACGAGGGTACCCGGCGGAACGGAGACGGCCGCGGCCAGCGCGGCAGCGGCGGGCACGGCCGGTCCCGCGGGTAGCGGGGGGGTGGGGTGGTGGGGGGGGGGGGGTGGGGGGGGGGGGGGGGGGGGGGGGGGGGGGGGGGGGAGTTGGGGTTACCGCGGAAACAGCGGCTGGAAGTGAGGGAGGGAACACAGGATACGCGGAAGTCGCAGGCTCAGGGAAGGAAGGGGACGCCGGGACCGCGGGAGGCACGGCCACGGGGGAGTTGGAGGGCGCTGGGACCGCAGAAACTATCGCCGAGAACGAGGTGCCCGGCACGGGAACTGAATTGGGCGCGGGCGGGACAGGGCAGGGAGGGGGGATGGGGTTGGAAGAGGGGATGGGAAAGCTAGATGCTAGGGCGGGAACGTAAGGAGGGGCGGCCGCGGTGGGAGGAGCGACCGTGGGGAAGGGGGAACATGACACGGGGGCAGCGAGCTCAGGGATCGGAGCGGCAACGGGAGGAAGGGACGCCGCAGGGGGAGGGAGGTTCACGGGGATGGGGGAACACGGCGTGGGGGCGGTGCCCGTCCTGGGGGGAACGCCCAGAGCGGGGGCGGTGCGCCGAAGAGGAGAGGAGAGGAGAGGAGAGGAGAGGAGAGGAGAGGAGAGGAGAGGAGAGGAGAGGGAGAGGAGAGGAGGAGGGACGAGGAGAGGATAGAGAGAGGAGAGGAAGAGGAGAGGAGAGGAGAGGAGGAGCGAGAGGAGGAGGGAGGGAGTGAGCCGGAGGAGAGAGAGGGAGAGAGAGGAGAGGAGCGGAGAGGAGAGATAGGAGCAGGAGAGGAGAGGAGAGGAGGGAGAGGAGAGGAGAGGAGAGGAGAGGAGAGGATGGAGGAGAGAGAGGGAGGAGAGGAGAGGAGAGGAGAGGAGAGGAAGAGGCAGAGGAGAGGGAGGAGAGGAGAGGAGAGGAGAGGAGAGTGAGAGGAGAGGAGAGGAGAGGAGAGGAGAGGATGAGGAGAGGAGAGGAGAGAGAGGAGAGGAGAGGAGTAGGAGAGGAGAGGAGAGGAGAGGAGAGGAGAGGAGGGAGAGGAGAGGAGAGGAGGAGAGGGGGAGGAGAGGAGAGGAGAGGAGAGGAGAGGAGAGGAGAGGAGAGGAGAGGAGAGGAGAGGGGAGGAGAGAGGGGGAGAGTGGAGGGGAGGGGAGGAGAGGAGAGGAGAGGGGAGGGGGGGGGGAGGGGAGGGGGGGGGGAGGGGGGGGAGGGGAGGGGGAGGGGAGGGGAGGGGGAGGGGGGGGGGGAGGAGAGGGGAGGGGGGGGAGGGAAGGGGGAAGGGGAGGGGGGAGGGGAAGGGGGAAGGGGGAGGGGGAGGGGAGGGGGGTGAGGAGAATCCCAGACACTGTCCTGAGTGCCTGGGGCAGGAGATTTTAAAATGGAGGCATCTGCCATGTGGCCAGTGCCATCTTGTTCCATAGCAGTCAAGGTCAGATGAGGATAAAGGGTTTTAGGAGAGAGGGTTTGGAAAGAGCCCAGACTAGCATGGCCAGTACTAGTCTGGAAAGGGGACAGGAGGGGACTGGAGGAGGCAGAAGGCAGGCAGCTCTCCTGTGCCTGTTTCAGGCAGTTTCCATCTCCAGACCTATCCCAAGGGGATGGGGGAACAGGGTCAGGGGGGTTGTGAGACAAAGGCAGGGATACAGAACTTTTAGGATCTTTAGAACCCTCTCCCAAAGCTTGATTCATCTTGTAAATAGAATGAAAAAGTGGATAGAACTTCCCAACCCGAAAATCACCCTCAGTCTGGAGTTGATACATTGTTTTTCCTACATTATCCCAGAACTCAACAAAACAGACTCAGCTGTGGCACCCGGAAAGAATTTGAAGACCCAAAGAAAAAGAACCCTCAGATCACCCTTAGAGAACTTAGCATTATATTTAAGAAGGGCCTTAGAAACTTGGGAATGTCTTTCTGCTCAATGGATAGTTTGCTACCCATTGAGAGGTCTCCCTCTTAAGAGATAAAAGAAAGGAAAAAAAATATAGAAAAGGTGACAGTCACCAGACTATAGTCACCACCTCAGTGTGTCAGAAAAAAAAAATCTCAGAGGAGGTTTTGCTGATTCGGCCGGTCCTCGAAGCCTCGAGGGTTGTCGGCCGCCCCCAGAGAAATCCCCCAGAAAATAGGGGTTTTTTCTCTCAGGGAACTGGAACAGTGACTGTGACTTAGAATCCAGAGGAGATCCAATGGAGACACTTTCAAAAGGCTAGATAAAGCCTCAAGTTCAGGGCCCAGTTGTGCGCCAATTAGAAAAATGCGGGTGTTGAGTGGTGGGTGCTGCTGCCTAATATCTGTTCCCAATGAACCTCTCCTGTAGAAAAGCAGGTTGGGTAAACATTCACGCAATGCAGTCAGATCCCCACACAACACTCACTGCAGCAGGCTCAGAAGAGAGGCAAGAATGGCTCTTTTTGCAAGGTTTTATTCCAGCAAGATAAATCACAGGAAGCTGAAGGGAACCTGGCAAGAAAGAGGACCACCATGTGGTGCAGGCAACTTAAGAAGGGGAAGGAGTGGGGGATGGAGATAAGGGCTGGGCAGAGGGGATTGGTCTCCAGGGGAAAGGGCACAGCCACCAGGGATATCCAACCAATGAGGGAACAGGGAAAGGAGAAACCAGGGGAAGTCCATGGGGGAGTCTGTCTTTTCCCTCCAGGAAGACTACTCTATGGTATTTAGTCACTGCCTTCACCAGGGCAGAGGACTTGGGAATTGACTGAGAGCAGAGAGTTCATGGGATGCTACACTGGATGAACAATCAACATATATTCTTTCCCCTTCTGAGAGGGCTTGCTCTACTAGATCCTCCAGAACTTTAGTTCGGTATTGGATAATTTCTAAACAATTATGTGTTGAATTACTTTTTGGTTTCCCATATAAAAATTGTGCTGGATTCAAACTTTTGTTTACTTCTAGTGCTAGGTCATCACTGTTTATCAAAATAGCTTGACATTTTAATATCCTAGAATCTGTTAGCCAGTTTTCAGCTTTTTGATTTAACATATTTCAGACTGCATGAGGTGTATACACAATTAGTTTACTTCCAAAAGTAAGTTTATGGCTTTCCTCCACCAAAATAGCAGTAGCTGCTATAGCCTGAATACAAACTGTCCATCCATGGCTCACTGGATCCAAGAATTTTGATAAATATGCTATTGGTCTTTTTATCCCCTCCCCCCCCCCCCCAACCCCCCAGTCTTGGACTAAAACTCCATGAGCTACTGCACCTTCCACAATCACATACAGAAGACAGGACTATTCTAATGAAGGCAAACTCAAACCAGGTACCAAAGCCAGTTTCAACTTCAATTTTTCTGATTTTTTATCATCTTCCCTGGTCCACTTTATGTCATCTCCCTCTGTAGCAAGATTTCTGAGAGAGAGAGGACATGATTTATATTTAGAGTGAAGGTTGAGCTACCCCCAGCCTAGGCCTCAGATATGGGCCTTGGCAAGGCCTTTGAAAGTTATGGCGCAGTTAGAAATTAGTTTGTGGTGCAGTAAGAAATTATGTTAAGGTGTGACCACAAAGTAATGAGCTTTCTGAGTGTGAATTAGTTTAGGTCTGCAGTGTGAAACTTTAGCCACCTTAAGACAAAGACAAACAATGTTTGCTGGCCAATGATAGTGTTCTCACAATTTGTAAACTATATTGAAGTGTATATAAACTGCCATCTTATAAACAATAAACGAAGAATGTAGCATTAAACATATTGGCTTGATCTGTGTTTGTCCTGTTCAGCTTTCCCTATTTTATAAGAAGTCCCTTGCTTCTTCCCTCTGTCAATTTTTCATATAAAAATTTTACTGCCTGTGTATAGCCTTCTATCCATAATCTACAATATCCTAATAATCCGAGTAGCCTTTTAACCTCCTTCTTTGTAGAGGGAGGGGGAAGAGATAGAATCCCTACAACCATCATAGGAACCAGCTTTCGGCTACCTTTGCTTATTAAGTGGCCAAGATATTTTACTTCTGGTTCCACAAATTGTTGCTTCTTTTGGATACTCTTAATACTTTTTCCCCTAGAAAATTCAAAAGTTTTATAGTAGCCTCCCTCACTTCAGCTTCAACTTCTCCTGATAATAAAAGATCATCCACATATTAGGTAATTTGTATCCCAGGAGGAGTGGGGAAAATGTGTAATATTTCTTCTAAAGTTTGTCCAAATAAGTTTGGAGATTCTGTAAATCCCTGTGGTAACCTTGTCCATCTTAGTTGCTGTTTTGTCCCAGTATGTGGATCCTCCCATTCAAAGGCAAAAATATTTCGACTTTCCTCTGCTAATGGGCATGGCCAAAAAGCATCTTTAAGATCCACCACACTAATGATTTTTCTCTTTTTGAGCCTGGTCTTATAAGCTCTTAGAGATAAGCATTATACCCTTGATAGCTCAGCTACCTTAGGTGGCATAAAAGAAGCAGGATGGCTCCTGTGACAGTGTTGGAAACAAAAAGTTTTAATAAAAGGCAAAAATAAAAAAGCTCTTTACAGAGAAAGATGACTCAGGGCAAGAGGTTCTTGCTCCTGCTAAAACACTTCACAAAAGCGATGAACTTCTTTTATTCTCTTCTTTTCTAGGGAATTGCTTAGGCTGGACTTTTTGGCTCCTGTCCAATTAGCTATCCTTAAGTTTGAGGTGAAGTCCCCAAGGTCCTATGAGGTGTCTTTTAACCAAATTGAGGAGAGAAACTTCTGGGCTTTTTTCCTTTTTAAGGGGACAAAGGGTAACTTGTTTTCTCCGTCAACAGGGGGCACATTCCCACATCTCACCCTTTCTATACATTTAAAAGGAAAGAGGAGAAAGAAACATGATCTGGAAAATCTCACCTTTGTTGACAATTTGTAGTTATGCTATATAATTTTTAAATTTTATTATAATTTTTATTGCTTGTGAGTTATTCTTCTATCTTAACTTTGGTGTTTTCCCAGGCAAGCCTCAGGTTTCTGGCTATATATGATTTAAACATATAGAACTTTAAAACATTTTTAACATATGATGTAGAGGTAAGTTAATAACTTTTTAAACACAATAATAATAACTTACAGAACTTTTTCAGTGCAAAGTATTTTTTAAACAATTTTAACTAGTGAAAACTTAGAAAACACAGTTTGCTTTCCAGCTGTCGCTCAGTTGTCTGCGTGTTCTTTCTCTGGCATCACCTGCTGCACTTGAATCAGCTGTACTTGTGGCTTGACATTCTTTGCAGGGACCCATTGAAGACCTGCATCTGTAGAAATGCATGCAAACCCCCTCCCCAAGTTACAAGAGGATGGGGTCCTGAAATTTGTCCTGTCTCTGGATCCTTTATGAAGACTGGTGGCTTTTCCTTGAGCTTTGCATGACTGGTGTTGCTGAAATGTCTGAAAATTGGTGGTACCTGCTCCATAAAAGAATTATTTAAGAAATGAAAAACATATATAGCTTTGCTCAGCCTCTCTATAGTAGATAGCACTTCTGTCCCTCCCTTTTGCCTTTCAAGGAGCATTTTCAGTGATCTGTGTGCTCTTTCTACAATAGATAGGCCTGTGGAAGGATGTGGAATACCTGTGGTATGTTTGATACCCCAGATTTTGAAAAACTCTTGCAGTTTGTTAGAGACATAGGCTGGTCCATTGTCTGTTTTAACTTCTTGAGGGATACCTAGGGATGCAAATGCTTGTAAGAAATGTTTAATTACATCTCTACTCCTTTCTCCTTGATGTGTGGAAGCAAAAATTGCTCCTGAGAAAGTATCTATTGATATGTGTATATGTTTGAACCGTGGAAATGTCTGATATTGAGTTATGTCAGTTTGCCATATCTGCAGGCTATTTAAGCCTTGCGGGTTAACCTCTGTTAGTATTGCTGGTATGGCTAATTTTTGGCAATCTGGACATGATTGGACAATTGCTTTTGCCTGATTTTGAGAGATGTTAAACATTCTTACTAAGGCAGGTGCATTTTGATGATAGAAAGCATGGCTCATTCTGGCTTGTTTGATAATATTTGGAAGTGTATTCTGTATTGACATGGCTAACAGATCAGCCATGGCATTGCCTTCTGCTAGGAAACCTGAGAGCGCAGAATGTGAAAGGATGTGCATTATGAAATTAGGTTCCTGTCTGATGGAATCTGTGGTATTTAAATGATTCCAAGATTGTAGAAAGTCTTGGTTTTTCAGCCCTGCTGCCAAAGAAGAAGTCGTAAATAGTCTGTGCTGGTTTTCAAGGTTGTTTATTCTTGCTTATCTCTAACATGTTCTGCTGCCCTGCCGCAGGTCTGTCCTGCAGGGCAGTGTGCGGGGCTCTGCCCCTCAGTGGGATGTTACAAACATTATATACCAGAAACTACATGTGCTATATTTACAATAATGTGCCAATATCTATCATCTACGTCGAACAGTGTGTCCCCTTCCCAACACCCAGTCTAAACCAATAGAAAAATGCCAACACCACAGTAAAACATGGAAGACATGAAGAAGAAGAACAGGACACACCCAATTTCCTCCATCTTGTCCCCCTTGGATCCCTTATCTAGAATCCTAAAATTCTACTTTTGCACCTGTGCCACACTAATTATTACTTATATCACACTCAGAGCTTGTAATTCATCCTGTAAGATTGAAAACTCTTTTCCATGGACAGTGATCAGAGACGGTGTCTCTCAGGGCTCTGTACAAGGGGGTTCCTGACCCCCTACCAGGGTCCCAGACCTTCCAGGGCAGCCAGAGGGATGCCCTGGATTCCCACACTGTCGAATAGAAAGAAGGAAGATTAGTTTTTTGAGCAAACCATATAGCTGGTCATTGGAAACCTATTTTAGCAGAGACCCTTCTGCCCTTTCCACTACACCTGCAACATAAAATGAATCCATTATTAAATTAAAAGGAAACATGAATTTTGAAAATACTTGCACAACTGCTGTTAACTCTGTAATTTGTGAAGAACCTTCTACTTCTTCAATATCTGATTCCCATTTTTTTGTCTCTGGATTTTGCCAAGCAGTCACAGATTTTTTAGACTTCCCTGAAGCATCTGTAAAAAATGTGATTGCATCAAGGGGTGCATGACTTCTTAAGGGCTTATGAATTAATTTTAGAGATGAATTTAGCAGCTGATGTTTTAGACAATTGACCAAAATTTTTCCCTGTAAAATTTTCTAGGGCAAATTGCATAACCTCTGAATTTTGAATAACCATTCCAAATAGATGGATTTGACAGGCAGAAAGATTTCTGCAAAATCCTTTCCTGAAAGGGAAAACGTTCGTGATCTGGCCTTTATAATCAATTGTGATATAATTTCAGGGCAGGTTACTATAGTTTTACCCATCTGACGAGACAGGAAAACCCATTCTAAGATTATTAGATGATCCTTTGTCTCTAGATTCCCCTGGAATATTAGACCTTGAAGCTGTGGACTCTCCCCTAAAACCGCAAACAAAAAAGACAAGTTAGGGTTATATTCATGAGCCTGGCATGACTGGATGGCTCGCATCACTTTATCTAAAGCATTTTGGGCTTCTTTGTTGAATTCTCGTGGTGAGTTTAAAGCTGTGTCTCCCTTCAGTAGATCAGACAGAGGATCTAAGTCCTGGTTTGAAATGCGTAACAGTGGACGAAGCCAGTTCAGAGTCCCTACCAGCTGTTGTACCTCATTTAGTGTTCTTGGATTTTTCCTTAGTTGGAGTGGTTGTGGAGTTACAGTCTATTCTGTGATTCTGTATCCTAAATATTTCCAGGAAGGAAGTGTCTGTATTTTCTCCTTTGCTACTGTGAGTCCTGCTTTCTCCACTGCTGAGATGACTTGATCTGTTGTCTCCTGCATTGATGCTTGGTCCTTGGCTGCTTTCCCACTGTTTGGCTTTTTGATTACGAAAACTGGAGTGTTCCAGGGGCTGGTACTTGGAGTTAGGTGACTTTTGTTTAACTGTTCCTGTACAAACTGCTCTAATGCAGCAAGTTTCTCTTCTGGTAAGGGCCATTGGCATACCCAGACAGGTGTATTGGATGTCCACGTGAGTTTTAGAGTGTTGTGTCTATCAACAGCTCTTGTTAGAAATCTGTTTCTAGTCTCAGACCCCATTGAGAAAGAATATCTCTTCCCCAAAGAGTTATATCAGCTCCTACTATGAATGATTTTGTGGTGGTAACACAACCTTCAGGTCTCTCAAATGTGACTAAGTGCAAGCTACGAAAGCTTTTACAGTGACCACCAATACCCGCCAGTTGGTCCAGCGTGGGTACAATGGTCCTGTCCTGTGGCCATTTCAATTTCAGTATCAGAGTGACGTCAGTTGTTTCAGTATCTATCAGGCCAATGAGGGTGATGATTTTCCCGAGATGCTTCAGGACACAGGTGAGTTGAGGCTGCCTGTGACTGATGTGCCTGGTCCAAGCGATGAGGGATGTGTTACTCTGTGACTCTTTGTCATGGCTTGACACTGGCACAATGCCAGCACCCCCATGAAAATACAACCCCCAAATGATTTGCTGTGAGATGCGATCAGGAACAGAGCAGAGCAGGCCCAAGCTTAATAACAAAGGAGAAACTTTATTAAACTACTACTACCATAAAAGGGAAAAGAAAGAAAAAAACTAAATCCAAAATGAAAACATTCCTCCTCCCCCCCCCATTTCCAACAAACCACAGTGAGACACAACTTGGACCCCCAATCAGGTTCCCACCCTTCAGATAATCAATACTCAGTCCATCGAGGGAGAGAGGAG